TGCTTTCTACTATACTCAGCCTGCTTTTATTCCTGGACAAACTCTGTTGGCTACTTAAGAAAATATAACCAGTAAGAAAAACAAAATACAACATCAGTCTGTGCCTGCATGATGGGAGTGGATTCAGCTATCCAGGCAGCCCATATTTTGGCATAATTTTGCTTCTGAATTTATTTGCATGTGCAGATAACATCCACATTTTTGAGCTTAAGGAGAATTTGGAAAAGCAGATGTTTGCATCTGTGTCATGCAGAAATTCAAATACTTCCCAGTGACACAAGGACCTTTATACCTCAGTGCAGACTTCTCTTACATCATTTCACAGTGACTGATGGCAACAGTAGTTTTTCCATCTTCTGGAGGCAGGGACTACAGACCCACAATTTCTTCCTCAATATTAAAAGGCCATTTAAATTCAGCAACCTTAGATCCAATGCCCAAGCTCTGGAATGGGACATACTTTCAATAAAGTATCAAAGCCCTCAGTATCTAGTTCTTAGCCCAGTTCCTCTACTCTACCAGTTTTGAGCTTTACATCTGGAATTTACCCATCCTTGCATCCTTTCCCTAGCCATGCCAGCACAGTACCCATGCAAGATTTTGTGTTAGAGTACCAATGTTCTCATTGCTTCATCCTTTCTCTCCGTATTTGCCATAATTTATTCTTTTGGAAGAATTTTATTCAATTTCTTTTGGAATTTATAAACCCTTAAACTAAGCAACCAAACTAAAACAAGTTGTGACATTTCTTATCTCTAGTGTCAATGCTAAGCACTGTTAAATACCTTTTCTTCACCTTGAAAGAATCCTAAATAAAGTGTGATGTAAATTCAGACATTTACAGTGTTATAAATTCTTTAAGTTTCTAAAAAAAGCAAACAAAGAAAACAATACCCTGAGCTTCAGAAAGATTTTGATCATTCAGTTAATTGATCCTGCAGATGTCAAAATCAGGCCAGAGTAAACAATTGTAAACTAATTTAATGTGAAAGCAAGGAACTATGGCAGGGAATGCGAGTTAAATAGTACAACCAGCAATCACATCATCAGAAAAAGCATTAAAAGTTTATTGTGGGAAAAGTCATTGAAACCATTAGATAAGCGTTCAATAGCAACAAAAAAGATAAACAAGAAATTCCACCTATACTTATCAATAGATAGAATACAAAGCAGTGGATACCATTTGGTCTGCCAAATCTTTGTTCAAAAGAAAATCATGTAGCTACAGCAGACTGTCTTGTCCTTACAGACACGCTTCTTGAAAATAGAAGGGACTTCATCTTGCCCTAACTATATCATTCCCAGGTGCGTTTTAGAAAATGCTAGGAAGAATAAACTGAGCTCTTCCAAGTACATACCCAGCTCTAGTCCTTTCACTGTTTCTGAAGTAGATATACACTTCATTATGCCTCATCCCCCCCGTGTGTTAGTCTTGTCTCTCTCATCTCAGCTCCCACATAAGCTAACCTGTGTCCATATAAGAATTCAGCAAATTTATTGGTGAATTGTTTGTTTGAAAAAAAAACCCAAACAAACCAGTCCCAGATGTCAAACTGAAAGTGACAAAGACACGGAAATTACATGTTTTTATACTTTTGAAATATTTTTTAGTTACTTTTGATTTGAAACATAAAAGTGTTCTTCATTGTGGGAGGCCTAGCTTCAAACATCTTTTGAAAAAAGGATTTGAGCCCACATCTGCCACATTATGGGAATGTTAAATGAAGTTTTGGGTTTTCCTCAAAGTAAAACAACAAACAATTGTCCTTTTGCATTTTCGTTGTTCAGAGCTTTTTTCCTCCCCATTTTCAGTTTGGCTGCCAAATTGAATACAGAGTCCTCCACATTCCCCCTGAATCAAATCTAGCACAAAACAGCTGCAACCATGTCCCAGACTGTCTAGTGTTGATTACCTCCTAAACTGCCTTGGAAAATATTACATGAAAGAGAAATGGAACTTACAGATCTACCTTCAAGAAAATATGGCTTGCATAAAAGGCCCAGTGTACATCACAGGTCACAACTTTTGCTGCAGCAGATAAACTGGAAGGAGGATTAAGGGTCTGACAGCTGCTGTATGTTGGTCATCCTTTACTAGTTTACAGGGCTAACGCCCCTTTTTTAGCCAAGTATAATCTACAGCATCACTAATGCAGGCTTCAGGGCATAAACAGAAGCTGAGCAGGTGAAAGGTTGCTTAAAGTCACCTTTTTCTGCACTTTATCCACTATCATAGTTTGCTTGGAACAAATAATCAGTTCTTTCACTGAACAATCAGTTATTAGGCAACTAGGGAAGACTGGGGCAATAAAAATAGTACAATCTCAACAATATAGTCTCTAAGAAAAGACATCAAAATTGAATTTGTTTTCATTAAAAATGCTGATTTTTCCTGAGAGCAGCCACTGCAATCTCTAACTCATTAATAGCCACTTGTATGATTCTTTTAACAGTTTTTTTTCCTGATAGAGCATGTGAACACAGTTAAATAAAAGCAATAGCACATCTCTGTTACAATATAAAAGACAAACCAAAACTCCCAGTACGTTTCTTTCTTCTTAGTGCTAAACAGTATTTTACTCACACAAAAAGTCCCTTTGAAATCTAAAGAAGTACCTGCATGATGAAAGCTGTTCTACATCGCAGCTTCCAACCACTGTTAAGAAAAGAAACATTTCTAGGTTGCACCATTAATGTAACTAGAACTGGGAAGGTGACTTTAGTTGAGGAATCAGTTTCAAAATACTGTCTGTATTCTATGTATTTGCAGAAGTGCCAGATATTCTAGACTAGTTGGAAGACATAAATTATGAGTATAGCACTTGCTGTGAGCAATAAACATTCGATACAGAGCTAGATATTTGTTACTATTGTTAACAGTCAAGTCTGCAAGGGAAGTAACTGCAAGGACCTCGAGCCTGGCCACACACTGAGCATGACTTTAAATAATTTTTAACTAACTACTCTCAGAGGTAACTTGGTAGAAGTTTCCACCCTCTGCTTACATTCCAGTGAGCAAAATTCTGCTCTTGAGAAGTATTTCCATAAACCATTTCTTTTTAAGAATTTATATACAGGCTCCTGCAAAAGGCTAACATAATTGGTATATCAGAAAACCATTCAAGACTCAGCTTCTGTTAAAGGAAATAATGTGACATTTTTGCTAAAACACAACTTTGCCCACTGCTATATTTTAAGTTTTAATGAACAGTCTGAAAATTATTTGTATAAAGTCTGAGGAAACTCAGAAAATTAATCCCCCGGCCCCACTGCATCTACTGATGATTTATAGAAGATTTATTTTTTTCTCTCACAAGATCTTCTTTCTGATTGTAGTAAATGCCACCCACATACCTGAGAAACCATCAAGATATAAGATTCATGCACTCTTCCTAGAACATCCTACATTTCAGTCAGTGCACCAAATGCCCTTAGGGGAGCTACGTGGGTGAAACTGCAGCAGCCACTATGCACTGGAATGAACCTGCAGAGGCAACTGATAGAAAACAGGAGCACCCCATGTCCTGCAGACGTGCTTCTCACACCATCTCCCTTCTCACAGCCATCTCTCTCTTCTCAGTCCTAATCTTCAAGGTAGACCACAAAACACTTCGAAAAATGAGCAAAGAAAATTAAATTCATAGCTTTAGTAGGTATTTAAAAATGTATTTTTTGTTTAATGGCTCGATGCAATTCACCCTCAAGATAAATCCCTTCATGCTTTTTAGCATGATGAACTAGGCCTCTTTTCTAAGGGAGATATCACTCAATCACCTCTCCGCTTGTTAATAGCCCTCTTATCCACTAATCTCTCCTCTATGTCACAATTATTGCCTGGTTTTTGTCTCAGATGATCTAGCTGTTTTTTAGCTTAATGCAGAGCCGTTATTCTCAAACCCGATGCCCCCAAATTATTGACTTTTTCTTTTCAGTTAGTTCAACTGATCTAATTTAAAGCTCATTCTTTGGTCTTCCCTATTTTTATATGGCATCCTGCATTGCTCAGGATGAGCTACATAACATCCTAAATTATTCCTCAAAAATTATGCAAGGCTGGAAGCATGATGTGAGAAATGCAACTGGACACAGAACAACTCCATTTGCTAATCCTCCAGGGAAAAGGATTGCCAATGGCATGGGCAGCACCCCATTTCCTAACTTTTAACAAGCAGTTTCTTAAAAAACTTCCACCTTAACTAGCAATTGCCAAGGAGAACAGTGGGTGGTGAGGAATGAGAGGAAAGACTGCATGAAGGAAACAACTTCCAGAACGTTCGCAGCTTGCCAAACACACTATTAACCAACAGTAATTACGGCACAGCGACCTGCTGCTCTGGGAGCCAGGAGGCCTGAAGCTAACCACCCTGGCTCGGTTAGCCCCACCTGCCCTACCGGTACCAGCAAGATTTAAGGGAGAGAAAGCCCAACAATTAAGGGTTAGCAGAGAAACAGCCTGTTTCTACAGGGAACAGGAGGTTTGGCTGGGAACTCCTTGTCGGTGGTATCTTGCCAAAGGCTGTCAGCCGGGCGGCTGTTGGTCTGATGTGCTCTGGGCAGCAGGGCTGCTGCCTGCCAGCTGAGAGAGGTGGTAAGGAAAACTGTCCTGCTGGATTTGCCTTGCAGGAGAAGGGGGTTGTGATGCAGCTTCTGCTGGCTTTGTGATTTGAATTAAGGGTTGGAAGTAGATTATACGATACAGAGACAGTGTCACCCAGTTTCTGAAAGCCCTTGTGGTGCCAGGCCTGCAGGGTGCTGGGGAAGGTTCTTGCTGTTGGCGGGGTTTCTGTCTCACTGCTCTGAAGCATATAAAGTCCTTCTGAAAGCACTGACTGTCACTGCTCTCAGCCTTAAAGCAAAATTTCATTTGTATGTTCTTGACAGGTTTTAGTAGTTACAGTGTTTGATAAATAAGGTTAAAAAAGTAGCATGGCTAGAAACTTTTCCTTCCCCCAAATTTGACTAATTATTAACACAACGGTTAAGTAAATCCAAATGTAGCAAATAAACCTCGTAATCCTCCATAGTTTCAGAACTATTTAACATACACTGTTCTTTCTGGCAAAGAACAATTGTTAGAGGAAAAATGGAGTACTTCAGGTTGGGAGAGCAGGTAAGGTCTTTAAGTAGGAATCAAATGCACTACATGTGATTAAGTGGTTTCTATTTCTAGATCTATGCTTTGCCTCTTCCTTCCTTCTCCTGCCACTGATGTTGTGTCATGATTGTTCAAATCCAGACCTGAAAAAATGATCTGGGTTAAAAGAACCCTTATGGTTAAAGGTCTTGCATTTCACTGGGATCGTTTTGCCAACACAGCAAGCACGGCTTGCCTTGATGCTGGCAAACCTGAGTGTACTAGTTTGTGATGGGGTAGGGAGCTGTAACCTCACAACCTGCTTTAGGGGAAGCTGGAATAGTTTTTTTTATTGTGGCTTAGGATTTTCTGTGCTAGTCTCAGGGACTCTACTTGGCTTCCATATGCAGTTTTGTTGCCAGAGTTCATATTTTTACGTTGGAGCCTAGACAAAAAAAGCAAGATTCAGCTAAAGATCAGCACTGTTGATATCTCAGCAGTTTGTGCAGGAAGAAACTGTTTCATATTCAGTTTTTATGTCAATTTAACTGTTTCAGATATAATTCTGTATCTTTTCTGGGCATTTTTTCCCAGAAAGAAAGGAGGGGGAAAGAAAACATACACAAGAAGAGTTAAACCAAAGCTATTTCTAGCTGCTTGCAATTATATGAGAAAAACACTGTCTTTTACTGCAATTGGACCAAGATAAGATATTCTCAGTATATGTATCCTCATAATAAAGTAAGTGAACCTTATTTAATGAGTGTAATTAAAGCACAAAGCTGGCTGATTTTGGCTGGTAGGGACAATTGAGCTAATCACAGTGAAATCGAAGCGTCCTCGCTGTGTGTGTTGTTACAACAGATATATCCGAACTGCGCTAGGGGAGTGCTCAGATACTGCGAGGGAAAGGTGATGAACTGCATTCTCCTGTGTGTAATTAATGGCCACTATTTGGTACTTCAGGACCAGAAAGGACTGGAAAATAAAGGTTATTCTCATCAGTACAGAGCAAGGTATACTTTACCCTTACTACAGCTCAGAGATAATTAAGCTCTGTGCCCAAGTAGAGCTATGTGATTACTCTTCTTTCTAACTATAGAGGCAACATCTAACCATAATATTAGCAAGGCTAGGAAAACATAATCCAGCTATAAGGTACAGCTGATCTAAAGCTTTACTGAATTTCATATGCTGGTCACATTACCTGAGGAAGTATTTTTTGTACGAGGAGCTCATTCTGTAGTTTTCATCCTGGACTTTATAACCTGAATATCTCAGTCAAGTTCTTTCTAACATCTTCTCAACAAATTAAGTATTACAATCTACTTTGTGATACAGTAGTTTTAATCATCTGTATTAACTGAGGTCTTTAAAATGACATCACATTTTATTGAGCACTAGTGTGCATACATATGCTAGAGGGTATAATATTGTTCAATGAAATTGCTGAAGTGATTATGATGTGTTCATAGGTTTTGAAAGTACAGTGCTGTTGCCTGTGTCTTTTGTGTCAGTGAATGCAGATCAGTTTCCTGAGGCAATATTGTCATGAGAATTTTGTAGCACGTCTCTAGACTAGCATCAGGAGAGGGCTCTGCTCCTAGTCCTACATAACAGTTTACATAACTCATTGGTGGTATTTCTCATCTAAAAAAATCTGGTCACTGTCACTGACAATTATGAATGCTTCTTGATCATGAATATGAGTTTCAGACAAGGCTTCTGGGAGAAGACTTACTACTCTAACTGGGCTTATGTATCCAGTATTTAGTTTCTTTCAAAATATTGGATCTTCACTCAGGTGATATAATTACAAACAGAGGAAAGAAACATCTGCCACGCAGTTGTGAGACTTGCCCATGTGAACAGATCTCATACAAATAAATGCGAATAGAAAACATACAGGTATGGGCCCCTTAAAGGTGAGCAAGTTACTAAATGCCTCTGGCATATCTTTGAGTATGCTAATCCCTGAACTACTCTACAGAAGCTTCAGTAAAAATAGTGTACTCTGTACAGTTTCTGATAGAACAGTTGTAGATGCTTGGTCCCAAGAACGATTCCTGAGTGGCTCTCAGCCTTGGTGCAGCACCTGAATTCCTGACAGGGATTTCCTACTGACCTTAACTGCTCTTTGCTCAGGGCACAGGTTGTTCAGCTGTCCTATAATGAAGCTCTTAAATCTTCTCATTGACAATACAGGGAGTGTAGGTGCCTAATGCAGAATTCCCTGCAGGCCATGGGCTGGGACACCGAGTGTTATAGCCCATCAGTTTCTCACTGGATTTGGCCCAAAAATTCTTAATGCAACACCAACAGTGGTTTGTCTGTTTTGTTTCCTGTTTTTGTTTTAAATAATAATGATGAATCTGATTAGCTGCAAGACAGCAGATGCTATGGCAATATAATATTTGAATAACAGATGTGAGAACAGACTCCAGCCTTGTTTTAAATGCCATGATATTTTATATTATTTAACATTTTCTTGTGTAATGGAAGCCAGGTTTTCTGCTTTTCCAGAAACTCTTTACTGAATAATATGTACAAAATCAGGACCATTATTATTTTATGTGTGTATAACAAGAAAATATAATTGTTGTATCTAAAGGAACAGTATGTATTTTGAAATATGATACTAATCACAGAAGGATTAAAGTAATAGAACTGATCTATTTCTGTGATCTTGGCCAGGTAAAATAATCGAATATGATGCTTACAGTTATAGGTCAACGACAAGTAAAAAACCTCAAAAACTGAGTCTTAGAGGTTTCATTTAAGAGCCAATTTTAGGCAACAGGCACACATGGGGATTCCCTGAGAGTACCGCAGCTTGCCCCATGATTCACAAAGATGGGATGCCTCTGTGAGAAGGCTTAGGCCTCATGTCATGTCAAGGTGACTGCAGATAGTCCTTTTGCTTTGGTAGACACTGCTGGTAGCTGCTTGGGGAAGAGCAGTCCAAGTAGGTACAAGTCTACAGAAATGAAAATTCCATTCTTCTAGAACCAGAGGTCTTTACCAAAGGCAGGCCACAAACCTGGGGTGGTTCCCTCCTTGTCACCCTGCTGCTGTTGTGTGGAACAGCTTTGGAGACCATCCTCTTCAGACAGATAGCCTCCAGTTCAAGATGCAGCCACGAAGCAGCATATAATCAAGAAAGCCACACTGGCAATCTTCTTTAGCGTAGGAATGTGACTCCAGTGTTGCTGGAGCATTTGCCATCTAATTTCAGTAACTTCTTCCAACCAATAGAAAAATCTGAGACAGGCTTGGCTGCCAAGCATTACAGGCTTTGAAGTCCTCTGGCAGGTAAATCTGTATGTCAGTGACCTACAAAAACATCAAAAGGTATGTCAGAGAATGCTCTTGTAAAGGCTGGAAGCTGAAAATCTAAAAGAAAATCCTCAGAGATAACACTAAAAGACTTCAAAGGTAGGAGATATGCAGAAAATCAACAACACTGGTCAAAATCAGACAGAGAAACAAAAATTTTCTCTGACAAGTAGAAATTGGAAAGGAAATAAAAAGGAGAAATATGTACTGCTTTTTATGGTCACATGTGTACATGTACTTTATAAGCAACAGCTATCTTTTCTCCAAAGTATATTTATTGCTATGCTCAGAATATAGACATAGACAGTTAATGCTTCAAAAGGAAACTAATAATTGACATCCATATTTATCTTTTTACTCACATATCTAAAGGTACTATAGAATGATTTCTTTTTTATAACATAGTTTATCACAGTGTAGCGAGTATGTAATAGTGAAAGACACCACCATTAAAGATCATGTCCTTCACATAACCTGCCGGAATCCACGTGTGACTGAAAATACTCAAAAGTGAAGGCATTAGTGTAGGAAATTTATTCAGCTATGCATTCATCTCAGTAGTATAAGGTGGTTTTTTTTTTAATAATCTCTGGTACTTTATCTCTTAAGCAAGGATTTTTCATCAATAAAAACCCAAGAACACAGAATTTACACAGAAGGAACTCTGGGACTGGAAACAGGTAAGGCTTCAAAATAAGAATGACCAGGCTGGGTAAGACCAAGAGTCCAGCAGAACCAGTATCCTGCTTCTCATAATAGCCATGAATGGATACTTAAGAGAGATATGAAACATTGGACAGGAATATATTCCTGAGCTTGCAGCCATTTGCAGCTGAGAAACTTCCTGAGCCAAGCATGACTTCTGTATATCTAGTAATTCTCAGTGAATTCCTCTCCTATGTACTTGTGTCTTCCTCTCCTGACACTAAAGTTTTAGCAAACACAAGATCCTGTAGCAGGGAGAGTTCCCAGCTTGACAAACAGACACTGCGAAGAATTACTCATTTTTTTTCCTTTTTTTACCTCTCTCACTACTTTTGATATCTGAGAGTCACATCTACTGTAATGAGATTAATTCTTGGTTTCTGAATCTGGCTCCTGCCACAAAACCTGTTCTGTGAAGACAAGGTCTATTGGAACAAGCTGCAGGAATGGGTCTTCCATCAATGCCACTGTGTAACAAGTGAAATGAATTGGAAAAGAGAAGGAAATAGCAGCAGCATATGGTTTTGAACATCAAAATGACCACAGGAAGACGTGTTCAAAATGCATTATAGCATACTTGCTTGTGCTCTGTGTGGTTTACCATGGTGCCAGAGTGCACAGGGCTGTAGTTAAAATTCCATTGATTTTTTTCCCCCTTTTTGTGAAGTTCTGTTTTCAATTTTCAGAGTGCAGTAGCAGTGTTACCAAATATGGGAGAATCTGCAACTACTCTGGACCTGTATCTCTGCACTGGGAATGCATAACATAAATGGATTTCTTTTTAATTTACTATTTTTTTTGTTATTCCAATGGTAAGACACCGATTTCCTGTAGCCCCCAATATGGACAGAGAAGCTTACAGGCAAATGATAAGGTAGATAGGATTTTTCCTGCTTTGCATCCATGCAATTTAAAGAGAGAAAAAAAGCTGTGAAAAGGAATGCTGTTGAATATATAAGATACAGTAAGAAGGGTTAAAAGGGTTAAGCTGTTCAGATCACCTGTTTCACATCCAACATAAAACCTTTTTTTTTTTTCCCTCCAGGAGGAAAATAAACAGTTCCCTTATCCCTAGGGTGGTAGCAAGCCCTAACAAGGAAAAGCAGGACACATTCCTTCCTTCCTTCCTTTATAACCAGTCACTGAATTGCTCCCAACACATTCCAGATCTGGCAGAATAGCTTAATTGTCTTCACCTGGAGGCCACTGCCTGAATTCCTGTCAGTTAATATAGCACCTCTGGAGTGAGACACTACAATTTCTTTCTGATGAAAGTGGGTTAAGCACCCAGCCCCATGGTCATGAGCAGTTTCATAGGCTCATTTGCATATGAAGATTTATGAGTTTCTTGGGTGTAACTGTGCCTATAAAAGTTCGAGTCTATAAGTGTCATCAAATGTAATTACTCCCTAAAGACTTAGAACAGATATGAGAAAGATGAAGAACTGTTTATTGTAATAAGTTGTGGTTATGAGTGAAATCTGCTTCCTTACAATGAAAGGTCTGCATGGAGAAGGGAGTGTTGCTGGTTTGCTTTCACTAATGGTGAGAAAGGTAAATTTCTGTAACAATTCATGATCAGATGTGCAGTTTTATTCCACAAGGCAGCTGAAATTTTGCAAAGCTATTCAGACAATAAAAAATTCTTGTCACAAAACATTGTCAACCAGTACTCTGGGTCAAAATTTCTCATTTCTGTAGTTACCATTCACACAGAATGTCAAGAGGAGTCTCAAGATTCAAATCCTAAATTAGTAGTAAACCAAAAAAAAAATATACTTTTTCCAATTAGACAGTTAGACTAGAAACATTAAAATATGTAAGTGTAGGAACTCCAAAACAAGTAGTTTTTCCTTCTTATGCACTTGCTCTATTCCTACCATATTTTCTGAAGTATTTTGTAATACAATTTAAAAGCTTGCTTGTGTTGCCTGATTCTGTTCTAAGTGAAGTGAAACATTCATGTTGTTATAGATAAAAACTCTGGAATAGAATTGAAAACAGTTGTTTCACTGAAAATATTTTTTCTTTGTGTAAAGAACCTTATTATACCACAGGAAAGGAATGGAATACCTGTTTCTCAGGTGTCATGTACCAATATGCTTCTTCATTACTCCCAAAACTACTGAAACATTACCCAAAGTAGACCAACATTAGACTGGTTTGCTATTATAATAGCAGAAGAAATATGCTAATTTAATTAATCTTTGGAAAATTAAACTAAAAGAGATCTGTAGATCATTAGCTCCATAGTTGGACTACTAAAATTATTTCTGCACAATGTGTTTTACAGGTATTCCAGAAAATCAAAGTTATGAAGGGCAAAGAGGGCCATGCTGTTTCTTCAGCAATAAGCCCCTACTGTACAGATGTTCACTTTAGCTGTAATTAGTCCACAGTCACCCCTATACACATATGAGATTTGGGAATGAAGATCAGATGAGTAAAGAAAATAGCAAACTCACGTGTAAAATTTAAATTATCTGTCAAACGCAGATATTGCCGGCCATGAAGTGTACATCAGAATTCCCTTTAGCATTTGGTTTTTTTAACTTAACTCAAGCAGCAGCAGAGTCATGTACAAATCTAACCCTGTGGCACCATCCTGTGGCACACCTGGCACTTGCACGGCTCTTCACTGCTCTTCCAGCTGCTGTTACCTGCCTGCATTTTGCATTCAAAAGAAAGATGATGAATTTAGAGTTTTTGGAGAAGAACCTTAAGGTTAGTTTGGATCGTTATGTGAAAGTCTGGAAGATGAATTAAAGTTTATTGAACCAGTGAGGTACTGCTTATGTGACCAAAACTGAATCAAATAAACTTGGATTCTAAGACTTGCTACTGCAAATGAGAGGTTCCATTATCCACCTCTAGAAATTTTCAGGACCAACCCTTATGACTTTAAATTACATTTGTAAAAACCTCTCCTTTTTCTCCATCCTCCTTCTCTAGACTTTTGTTGCTCATTTCAACCTTCTTTTCTGAGATTTCAATTACTACTTTGCTTTCCTCCTTCATCCAATGTAGAAGTCAGTGCTCTGCTTTCCCTAAGGTTGTACGTTATTCAGACATGTAATCTTTTCCTCACAGATATTCCCTTCTCAGCAGCAGAGGCTGTGGTTGTGCTACATCGCTACACAGGTCTTATTTTCTGTTATGAACAAAAGCTTCAGTTTTTCCTTACTGAAATGATCTTGAAAGAAGTAGAGACTTACGTTTCTTAACATGTGACGGTCCTCCTGTAATTGGAAAAATTGCTTTAAGCTGTGAGATGGCGCAGAAGAGGAGCCTGTTGAGCACTCACTCGAAAAATAGCAATTTCAACGGTGCCTGAATTAAACTTGCAAAATGCACCTGCAAGAATTACTCAGTACTTGCATATATTGATCTCTTGCCTACTTTTAGAAATTCACCCTCCTCTTCTGCCAGACTGCAGATCTTCTTGGGCAGAAAGGTATTTCAAAAACACAATCCAGACAACACAACTGCTCTGCTTCTCATTTACCCCGATAGTTATGTGAGTCAAGCCCTATGATTTACAATTTCAGATTACAAAAAGAAATACATAATAAGATTAAAAATTACAGCACAGGTGTTTCTGGAGGTAAAATATCTGGCACAACTAAGTTTAAGAAATAATTAGGAATATTAAGTTTATATTTCTTTTTGCTTAGTTATACACAACTATTAGAGTTTTGGTCCCTAGTTAGTATTTGGTTGCTTCTGCTGCCTGTTTATGCTATTCCCACCAAGTTAGTGTGAAATAAATTAGCATGTGAACATTCAGTGCATTAACTAAGATGTGACAATAACATGGAAACATGTCTTTACTTGTGGTAAAAACTCACTCTCATTTCAGATAACAGGGCAATTGGCAGCTGAGTTTTGACTTGGAATGATGTAATTTGGATGATTATTTACTTAATAGTTAAACTGTGTATCTTCTATTTATGTGTTCTGCATTAAGATGGACTGTGTGGGTTCAGCCTTGATGAGCTGAAGCAAAGAATGCTGCTCTACCTTATAAACTGTGCCTTAGCTGGCAGGCAGAGAGGATGAGCTTTCAGCTGTGGCTTAGGGTGTAGCTCTATGTAGGAAGGAACAGAGAATTTTCTCACGTTGGTTAGAGACATGCAATTTTACCCCTGAAGGCTGAAGAGTAATATTTTTCTTCCTTCTGCTAGAACATGATAAAACTTCACTATTTATTTTTTTCCTTTGAAATTAACATTAATTTATTTTTTGTATCAAAAAAGGATATATAACTACAGAAACTTGCACCATTTTTTTCTAAAACATGTAAAACACTGGTCTGTATAGCACGAAGGCAACTATCCTAATGGGTATCACACTATACAGCTATGTCCATTAGATCTCCTGATAAATTCAGTTTAAAATTTTAATTTCCAGTTGACATGAGCTACACTAAAAAGCCCTGTAAGCAGCAAGATGTATTATTAATAAATTAGTAGCAAAAATTATTAACATATATTAATAGCAATACATAATATTAGTAAGTAGTAGTAATAGTAATAACATGTAGTAGTAACATCCTTTCTTTAAAAATAAAAAAAAAAGTAGAACACCAGCAGCTTCTTTCTTTGTATATTCAGGGAGAGGAGCTTCATATTTCTTTAAAACTTTACTATTTTCTTAACATTCTTCAGGAATCCATTTTTTTGCCTTCTCCTCTACTGTTATTGATTCTATGCTTATTTAACAAAAGCCCATTTTTTCACATTTCTGAATTTTACTCCTTCAATGACACATTTTGTTACCTATTCTACAATACACTAGGATTGTATCTCTTCTTGCTTGTTACGTGCAACTTAAAGGTTCACTATGTTTCCCTGGCTGCCTTCATTCCTCTCATTCTATACCATCTTTGCTAAAGACCATCTGGATGATCCTGAAGGTATCCTCCAGCCCTGTTTTTTACAATTCTATGATCTTTAATCAACAGAAAGATCTAAAGTCTCTCTTCATTTTCTCAACGAAATTTAAAGATCCACCACTACTGTACCTTCTATACAGTTCCACTGCATTCTCTATTTTCTTATCACAAGGCAAGTATCATCCCTTCACAGCTCACACCTTTCCTTGTTGATTCCCACTCTGTTACCAGTGCATTTTCTTTCAAAACTGTGAGTAAACTCCAGTGCTTTGAGAGAGGCAGAAAGCAACCAGATCCAATCTCTTGGAAGATTTTAGGATCCAAATATTATAGTTCTAAACCAACACTCAATTATAAAAACTACTGGAAGGCAGTAGCAAAACACCCTTTTGCAGAAAATGTTGCTAAGTAAAGCAGATGAATTCTGCATGTGTGTCTTCTGGAATAGTCCAAAATAAGTCTGCCCCAAAAGTGGTCTAAAACTGCCCAAGAAACTTTAATTAAGGCTATATCAGGATGCAACCTTTAGTTATATGGCTTCATATGGTTTTTCCCACAGTATTGCTGCTTCATTCAGTGAGTAGACAGCTATTTAATATTCATTTGTAATACCGAATTAATTTGTAACCAGTATCTAAGCACTGGACTTTAATGGACACCAACAAAATATCATGCAAAATCTAAAAACATATTACTAAATGCTAAGTATTTTTAAAAATACTGTGTTTAAAGAAAGATCCAGCAAACTGCAACCACCTGGTAGCACAGAACACTTCTGCAAATACCTCTCTGGTATACCCCATGATGAGTATTCTGAAAATGGGGAAAAATACTAGGCCAACTTTTAATGTGTTAGATAATTTAGGGGCAGTATCCTACAGTGATTCTGTGATAGAGTTAAAGTGGTAGTTCAGATCATCTTATCAGCATTTATCTGCCTTAGCCATAGAACTGTCATTCTTTTTTTTACCTGCCTCATATGCTGTGTTTCAAAATTGTTGTAATATATGACAGAGCAGGCCTGTAGGCCTACTTACCTGTACAATCAGAATTCAGTACAGGTTCATGCAAGAAGGGAACTGGGGGTGTTTAGTCTGGAGAACAGAAGGCTGAGAAGAGACCTTATCACTCTCTACAGTGACCTGAAAGGAGGTTGTAGCCAGGTGTGCGTTGGTCTCTTCTCCCAAGTAACAAGTGCTAGGACAAGAGGAAATGGCCTCAAGATCCACCAGGGGAGGTTTAGATGGGATATTAGGAAAAATTTCTTCACCAAAATAGCTGTCAAGCATTGGAACAGGTCGCCCAGAGAAGTAGTTGAGTCACCATCCCTGGATGTATGTAAAAGACATGTAGATGTGGCACTTAGGGACATGGTTTAGCGGTGGACTTGGCAGTGCTGGGTTAAGATCATTGGACTCAATGATCTTAAAAGTGTTTTCCAGCCTAAATGATTCTGTGATTCTAAGAACTGAACTTGAACTCCTATCATGATTCCCCCATCATGTCTTCTCTCAGTCCTTTTTTTCTCCAGCTAGTTAGCTCGAAATCCCTCCTTTCTGTTTTGGTCATAGCTCTAAGAGTCACCCTCTTATTTTGCAACACATATCCACTCTGCTTTTCTTGTCTAAGGATTTAATTCCCTCCTAATACCAGATCATTGTTCAGCCTATGTAATCTCCTTGTTCAACTGGTCTCTAGGTCCTCCTTCCACTGCCTTCCTGACCCAAGGGGCTCAGACTCCTTTTCTAAATACCGTCTTGCTAAGCCACTCCAGTTTCTGTAGACCTTCTTCACTGATTTCTTGTCAAGCCATTTATTTATCTTTCAGTCTCAGTCTTGCCTCATCCTAATGCATTCCTTTCACCCCTCATCTGGTTTATCTGCTTGCATTCAAATCAGTGGAATAATTCTTAAAGTCAAAAACTGTTACTTATGTTCAGTCCCCATTTTGAACTGCATTTTGGTATAAAACACCCATTGCAGGAA